GGTTCCACCTTGTGGTGGTGTTCCATACTGTTGAAGCCATACTAAATCTGCTGGTATATATTTACGTTCTCAGCAATTGGATAAAGCCTAGAAGTTTAGACAATTGCTTGGCATTCGGGAGGACGCCATTTCGATTCCGGGTCCGTCTGCCTTGATCCAAGTTTTTCTATGGTTTCCTGGGTCACTTAGGCAAATGCTGGGGCAGTAATATTCCACAGATAATCTTTCATTCTCTTCTGTCTTCATTTCGTCCGTCTCAACTTTCTCACCCGAACCACCACCCACCCATTCCCACGATTCCTGAAAGCAGGCTGAAGAGGGCCTTNGTTTCCTTGGATCACTTAGGCAAATGCTGGGGCAGTAATATTCCACAGATAATCTTTCATTCTCTTCTGTCTTCATTTCGTCCGTCTCAACTTTCTCACCCGAACCACCACCCACCCATTCCCACGATTCCTGAAAGAAGGCTGAAGAGGGCCTTCCGCCCTATCTTCCGGCATAGTCCGGAGGGACTGCCCGCCCACCAGCATTACTGGCTGGTGGGAATGGAACACCCAAAAGTTTTTTTAATCAATCTGGGTGTTATGTGATTTTGTAATTGGTCTAACTACATGAAACATAGTTAAAATTCGATGCAGAATTCAAAAATGTAATAAGAAATAGGTGCATCCATTTGAAAAAATAAAGTCGGTGTTAGTTGCTTATTCTTGGACCACCCTACATACATGAATTTACCATGAAAATTTGCAGCCGAAAATAAAGATAAAGAGCGTTTCTCCAAAACCCAAATCCCCGAATTTTAAATGAATTTGTCCCAATCCACGCGTCTTGAATATACCTAAATTATATAGGTACCTACGTAGGGCGTCAGATAATTGACATGAGTAACCTTTTGCAAACGTTTTAAGACAAGGAAAATCCAATTTGCAATATGCCAATAATTAAAATTACAATCATTTGCTTTGCTTGTTAAATTAACCAATTCGAAAATGTTTACAACTTTCTAAGGCTTCTTTTAATTTACATATATTTTAGTAAGTAAGTGGTTCACAATTAGAAATGGAACTCCAATTGCCAATTAATTCGAGTTCCGCACTTGTAGGAGTCCTTCGGCGAAGTTATTTACACTTCTTTGTGGCTCAGAGAAAAGAACAGACCAAGACTTTTATCGCATCTAAAAGCTTCAGAACATAATGCTTTTACTCGTAACTCTGTCTCGGTTAAGCGGCGTTTTTATGGAGATGGATGAGTATCGCCACAGAAATAACCTTATGACTTCAAAATGAAATATACACGGTGATTCTATTTATTTTATTTCTGTCTGATGTGGAAGTGCATGTCCAACCTCTGTTAGGTCTGATGATCTTGTTTATGATCATGATCAATTATGAGCAGTGTCAGACTAACCAAAAAAAAGTCACTTCTATGCTCGCGAACGGTTAATTTAGAAATTCGAAAAAGGTTGTTAAAGGTGTATGTTTGGAGCACGGCATTGTACGGGTGCGAAACATGGTTTGTGGTGGGCGCGGCGGAAAGGAAAAGAAGCGTTTGAAATGTGGTGTTATAGGCGGATGATGAGAATAACGTGGGTAGAAAAAGTTAGAAATGAAGAGGTATTGGAAAGAATAGGAGAACAGAGGACTCTATGGAAGTCAATAAAAAATAGGCGAGATAGGTTGGTAGGACACCTTCTCAGGCATGAAGGTCTAGTCAGAGACATATTAGAG